ACACTTTGGGGGCATATTCGGGCTCGGCCCATGTAATATTAGCTTTTCAGCTTCGCTGAATGTTGTTGTGCGAATTCGGTTCAGTGCATGCTTCTCATGCACATTTGGTTTTCATGGGCAGCTGCGCATGCCCGATGGGGCACCCCCGGTGCGCAGCTTCGTTTGTGACCTCTGCGTCTAAATGCGTTCTCAGTTTTGTAAGAATGCGTTTATATGGTCCACGTTTTTTTTCGTATCGGTGGCCTTGTAATCATCTAATATTGCGTAGACCCATTTAGTAATCCACTTTGTTCGTGTGTTGTTTCTCATGCTTGCTGGCTGACCAATCCAGCCCAACATGCATACATAAAGGTGCTGCAACTTGACGTCATTCATATGTACACGTACACATATATATGTGTATATACACGTACACATATACACATGTATGTACATATATATGCACATATGTATGTATACGTGTGTACACACATATACATATATGCATATGTGTATGTACATGGCTTGCTCCATTCAAGAATTGCAGCACTTTACTGGAAAGATTGTGCAACTTGATGGCACCATTCACTGTTCCATGGTTGGTTCGTTGGGCCAGTGCTAACTTTCCCCTGCAGTAGCCATTTTGTTCCATGTTTCATGTAACAGAGCTGATAGTGTGGTCGTTCGTACACTGTAAGTGACGTTTTTAAGCTTAGTGAGGGCTATCCATTTTTGTCGGAGTTGCACTGGTCAACGCTCTATCATCTGGTGGTCGCGGTGCTGGTTACTTTTGGCACCCTTCTTTTTTTAGTCTTCTCTCGACGAAGGTCGATTAAAGAATTTAACGAATAGCTGCTATCTTCGTGCATCCAGTGTTTCTTCGTGCTGCGCAAAAACTGCATGATGGATGGCCAGGCGGTTAGGTGCTTTACGCTTCCTTCTGTAGCTTTTTTGGGAATTAGGGTATGCGTTGTCAGTTGCTGGAGCTTTGCAGGTGACTGTTGCTGCGAAACAGCCATCGTTTACCTCGAATGAGGAAGTGGACATGCGCAGTGCCGTGGATGAACACATAAGTACGCGCGAGTACATCCTGAATATCACGGATGAGGCGCTTTGTGCTCTTCCAGTTGCATACATCGAATCGTTTTATTCAAATTTATCTCCCGGTCAATGTTTGTTCCGTTTTCAGTGTTCCACTTGTTCCAAGAATTGAGCGGGAACGGGAAGGATGAAAGTTTCTATCGCTTTACGAAATTTTTTTTTCAGGTGAGATAATGCAGTTGGAGCAAAGATTATGTGATCTAAGAAATTTGATGTCATATGAACGTCAACACATTGGACCGCTTCCTGTTGAATGTGAAAATTTCCTGAAATCGTATCATCCACAGATATTCATTAGCACAGCAGATGGTTTCCGTATTTGTAACAGACGCGGCAATCAGAATGGCCTAGACATTCGGCAGCTTATTTTAGCAGCTAAAAACGGGGAGTTTGACGCACTGGATTCGAATAACTTGCGACAGCTGCAACCGTTTTTATCCATCATCGAATTTCGGGTCTGTTTTGCAAATAACCGTCTTTCAAACGAGGTTCTTAGCCTCGTCGAATAGGTGAATATGCACAGCGTCCCCACTACAGCACAGGCGAAGGCAAATTTGCAGAATCCTCTGGCTGGGCCATCGCTGCTAGCATCTCATGTTAGTAATATTGTTGCGATGCTCTCACATGCCGAGCACCGCTGTCCCAGGCTTTTTTGTCCTGGGCTGCATACCTAATGCGTGCTCTATATATGTATATATATACATATGTATACATATATACGTACATGTATATATATACATATACAAATGTATGTGGAGCACACATATATATACATGTACATACACATATATGTATATGAATATATATATACATATATGTATATGTACATATATGTATGTATATACATATATGTATGTATATATGTATGTACATATGTACG